TTTTTTGCCTGTCTTCTCCGGGGAAGTTTGTATGGGGCTACTAGCTCACATGCGGGATCAGAATGGTGTGAATGACAGCCGCACTGTGTCATGAAGGTGGTGGTGATTTCAGCACGAGAGACCAAATAAGAAGAAAGCTGAGAGGGGGGAAACGTTTTTGGATGACAAAGGATGGGTAAGTGAACTTTTGTTGTTTCCTTCTTAGCAAAGCTGATCCTCTTGCTTTCCTATCCTCAGTCCTGGCATTAGCTGATAAAAGACGTGGAAACAGGCAAAAAGCGGCAGGCTTGAGTTTGCCAGTTGACTCACTAGAGTTGCTATTATATTTTTAGATCATTTTCCTTTTTGCAGTGTTTTTTTGTTTAATCCATAAATGCATAACGCGGACTTAAACAGACTCTAGAGAAATATCTTTAAGACCGTCTCTGCCGCCTGCGTATCCACAGCTTGGGAATTGAGCAGGAGATAAATATTGTGTTTGCCTCTGTTCCTTGTTAATATTAGCCACGCTTGTATTTCTGGTTGCTGTCAGGAAGATTGTTAACACTTTACTGCGTGTGTGTGTGTGTGTGTGTGTGTGTAGGGGTGGGGTCCTGACTTTATCAAAGGTTGCACAAGGGCTTGTTTTATCTTTGAAGCTGTATCCTGAACACAGCTTCCAAATTTCCAGCAGTCATTTGCCAGTCTTATTTTTTCAAGTGTGACTGGCTTTATCCCCCCCCCCCCCCCCTTTCTACTGTCTGGGAGAGCTGGAATGTATTTCAATGAGTCTGTAGCTGGCAAAAGGACAGAGCAAGATCGAGTTTTAAATTTAAAAAAAAAGAAAAAGAAACTTAACTGTTTGAGAAGAAGGAGGGTTTTTAGATTAGGGTTTGGCTGAATGCCTCTCGGTTAAAATATGAATATTAAAGAGAAAAAAACTGCAGCACACGGTAGTTTTTTTTTTTTTTCCACCGTTAAGAAATAATAAATCTACTGTCGACGGAGGAAAGAAGTCCCTTAACATGCAATGACTTGGAAATGCAGCATAAGTGCCAATAGATTGCAACTTTGCAGGCTTTCTGAAGTTAATGGAGGCAGGGGAGAAAAAAAAGTCAGTGAGAAATGTGAGCAGTTCCGGATAGTGGGGAGGGGGCTAGGAGTCTGCCATTTCTTTCCTTGTTTATCCCTGAAATTTGCAAAAGCAACTCTGAAAAATAACAGCAAACTAATATACACAAGATTATTTTGCATTTTATGCAACTATTTAGTAAGAATTTGACAATCTTAACTTTGGAGTGTTGTCTGATAAGGGTGTTTATGTCTCCTAGCTCATGTGTCACTGGGGTTGGAGTCACAGTATGCAACAATATATGCTTATTAACAAATCCAGACTACCTCATGTTGTTATCAGTCTTCACACTATGCTCCATGGGCTGCCTATGCTAGTCCCAATGCCATTTTTCAGAGCTCCTATCTTTCCATCCCATTACGCAATAAGTGTATGAATTCAGGCAGGACAAACTTGGATTACCTTGACAGCTTCCTGAAGCTCGTTTGCTAAATCACAGGCTCTTTGCTCAACTAGGAAAGATGTGCAAGTACTGGGCTTACCAAGTCACACTTTTGCAATAGTACATTTCCTTTTGATACTGTTGTTCAACACAGTTAACTAGCCAAATATTATTATTATTATTATTATTATTATTATTATTATTAAAATCTCAGCTTCCAGTGAAAAGAAAGGCTCTGTGCTTTTCTGTTGAGATACATACACAGGAACTCCTGAAACTCGGAAAGCCTTTTCTTAGTTCTACAGCTCTGTGGTGATTTGAAGATCAAGGAAGAAAGAATGAAACCTAAACAGCAAATATGCAACACTGAAGAAAATGATGCTTTAGTTAAATGTGTTCCTAAATCAACTGCCCCATTACTGCACTAGACAAAATGCCCCTGATGTGAGTAAGCTGGTGGTGATGTGTTTTAATACCTTCACAATGTACATCTGTCTTCTTTTTAATATTGTAGGTTTCCATTTAATTACGCAGCTGAAAGGCATGAGTGTGGTTCTGGTGCTACTTCCTACACTGCTGCTTGTTGTGCTCACGGGAGCTCAGAGAGCTTGCCCGAAGAACTGCAGATGTGATGGCAAAATTGTGTACTGTGAGTCTCATGCTTTCGCAGATATCCCTGAGAACATTTCTGGAGGGTCACAAGGCTTATCATTAAGGTTCAACAGCATACAGAAGCTCAAATCCAATCAGTTTGCCGGCCTTAACCAGCTTATATGGCTTTATCTCGACCATAATTACATTAGCTCAGTGGATGAAGATGCATTTCAAGGGATCCGTCGACTCAAAGAATTAATTTTAAGCTCCAACAAAATTACCTATCTGCACAATAAAACATTTCACCCAGTTCCCAATCTCCGCAATCTGGACCTCTCCTACAATAAACTTCAGACATTGCAATCTGAACAATTTAAAGGCCTTCGGAAACTCATCATTTTGCACTTGAGATCTAACTCACTCAAGACTGTGCCGATAAGAGTTTTTCAAGACTGTCGGAATCTTGACTTTCTGGATTTGGGGTACAATCGTCTTAGAAGCCTATCCCGAAATGCTTTTGCTGGCCTTTTGAAATTAAAGGAGCTCCACTTGGAGCACAACCAATTTTCCAAGATCAACTTTGCTCATTTTCCACGTCTCTTCAACCTCCGTTCCATTTACTTACAGTGGAACAGGATTCGCTCAATTAGCCAAGGCTTGACATGGACTTGGAGTTCCTTACACAACTTGGATTTATCAGGGAATGACATCCAAGGAATTGAGCCGGGCACATTTAAATGCCTCCCCAATTTGCAGAAATTGAATTTGGATTCCAACAAGCTTACCAACATCTCACAGGAAACTGTGAATGCGTGGATATCATTAATATCCATTACCTTGTCTGGAAATATGTGGGAATGCAGTCGGAGCATCTGTCCTCTATATTATTGGCTTAAGAATTTCAAAGGTAATAAGGAAAGCACTATGATATGTGCAGGACCTAAGCACATCCAGGGCGAAAAGGTTAGCGATGCTGTGGAAACATACAACATCTGTTCTGAAGTCCAGGTGGTCAACACAGAGAGGTCACACCTGATGCCCCAAACTCCCCACAAGCCTCTGGTTATCCCGAAACCTACCATCTTCAAACCAGATGCCAGCCAACCCACCCTGGAAACACCAAGCCCTTCCCCAGGGTTCCAGATCCCTGGCACAGAGCAAGAGTATGAGCATGTTTCATTTCACAAAATTATCGCAGGGAGTGTGGCTCTGTTTCTCTCGGTGGCCATGATCCTCTTGGTGATCTATGTGTCTTGGAAACGCTATCCAGCCAGCATGAAACAACTCCAACAACACTCTCTCATGAAGAGGCGGCGGAAAAAGGCCAGAGAGTCTGAAAGACAAATGAATTCCCCTTTACAGGAGTATTATGTGGACTACAAGCCTACAAACTCTGAGACCATGGATATATCCGTCAATGGATCTGGGCCCTGCACATATACCATCTCTGGCTCCAGGGAATGTGAGGTATGAACCATGATCCTCCTAAAAGCATTTCTACTGCGGGGAAGGAGAGGTAAATGTTTGAAGCTCTAGAGGTGTCTCTAATCACTAGAAAGATTAATGACCCTTTTGCTTTTGGGGTTTTGCTCAGTGTGAAAGGTTACTTAATTAAATTACAACCACCAGGAAATTGACTGCTTTTTTTTTTTTAATGGTTGAAACTTGAAGGAAGTTCATTCAAGGATGAGATTAAGTTGGAATAAAGCATTATGTTAAAACACCTGCTTTTTTTTTTTTTAAACAGTTTGTATACAGGGGTTGGACTTAAACACACACACACACACATACACACACACACACACACACATGAAACTCTTTTCATTCTGAAACTTATGTCTGGTTCTTGGTATTTGACTTTTGTCATGGAGTAAAGAAGGAGGGACCAGCTTAATTTAAAAACAAAGTAAGCTTACCAAAATTTCAGGAGGTAACAAAGAAGATTTAAACCAAAGAGCACTTTACCCAAGGGTTGATTTTTGTTGTAAATCTTCAGTTTTAATTAAAGCATGCAACAGGGATCTCATATCCCTGTCATTTGCCATTTAGTTATGATACCAGCATAGAGAATGTCAGAGGCCTACTGTGTAATTGTATCAAGCTATTAAGGATCCTTCCTTTCTTCTTTCCTTCCTTCCTTCCTCCCTTCCTTCCTTCCATCCCTTTTTATTATTATTTTTTAAATTACTGGGGACATAGATCACTTTTTGAAGTTTTTTTTTTTTTTTTTTTTTTTTTTTTTTTTTAAAGTGCTATTTGTGTGAAATGAGAATGAAACTTCAATTCCAGTTTTGGCTCTGTCCTGGTAACTGATATCAGGAACAATGTTGTGGATGATTTAGCAATAACATAATGACAGGCATAACAGGAACTGTTTGTCAGTTTTGCTGTCATCCCCACCCCCCAAAAAAAAAAAATGACATGTGGTCTTGTTAATCTTACCCAAAATTAAGTGATGCAAATATTTACAAATAAAAGGAATAAGGCTTGTTCTGGGTATCTATCCCTATCTGTAGAAGCCTTGAACAAAGGTATGCTTTTCATGATATGCTATTTTTGTATACAGGAGAATAAATTCAGACCCAGTTTCGATTATTTAACTTTGAAAATCATTTATAGGACTGTGTTAATGAGTAGAAAAGTAGTCACAAGCTTTTTACTTGTTAATAAATGACACTGGATGTAACTGTTCTTTTCTTGGTAAAACTGATTATAATGTGCAAAGACTCTGACTTCCCAGGCCTTGTTGCTGGAATAAACTAGTGAAGACAGGTTGTGCTCTGGCAATATGTTCTTTTAGTATCTGATTTTAGATGATTTCTTTTTCAAAAGAGTTTTACTAAGTATTTAAAGACTTTGCCCTTTCTTAGTTATAACAGTTGGAAAACATGATTTTCTCTTTGATAATATATATCAATTTTTCCATGATCTTAAATACAAATGCTATTGAAAATGTTTTCAGACAGAGCACTGAATTTGAAACAATATCCAACTCAGTACAAAAATTTGGACTATTGAACTGTTCTCCACAGAATCTATTTTCTCTTTTTTTTTGTGTATCATTGAAAAGAAGAAACGGAATCTCAGATAATAAATCCCTGAAAAAAAAAATCTGTATAAGCAATTGCCCTTAAAAATAAAGAGAATAAAATATTTCTATAAAAGTCTAACAAAGCTTGATGTTTTTCTTGCAGGCCCACATTGATATAATGCAATGTGAATCTAAGTAACACAAAGTTGTACTCTTTTATTCTGGGTTCTCCTTGTATTTTGTGTTCCTCTTAGAGGATAGTAACAGAAAAAAGAAAAGGAAAATCCAGGTCTATTCATTCGTTTACTCTTGACTTCTGGAATAGAATGGTAATCTTTATCTAGTGAAATCACCAGAAGGAAAAAAGATTCTTAAAAAAATTAGGACCTAAAACAGGTGTCCTAAAAGTGTTCCAGCATTTAAATTACACAGGTTATTCCTTTAAAATTCTAGGCATTACCATGATAGGAAAAGAAAAAAAGAAAAACTCTGGTACTACTGTGTATTGCATAGATGGAGTATGAGGTTGTGAAATTGCTCCAACATTGTTGAGAATGAAGTGGTTATTAAGGCATTAAAGAAGTAATAATTCTATTAACTATTGTAATGATGCCATTGAGTCAAAAAGTTTGGTCTGTGCCAGATCAAACTCTCCATGCAGTAAAAAGTGGAAAATGGTAGGCTATATGTTTAACCCTATTGCATTCACTTGGGAAGGTACAGGAGTGCCATCAAACTATATGTAGACAAATATTAACTTGTTTTGAAACACATATATATTAAAGCAAGCAACACAGCCAATTATATCCCTTTTTGACAGGGTGTTCAGTTAGAAGTGGATAAAAAAAATAAGGAAAAGCAAATTCTAAGAAATGGTTATTACAAAATCCCCAGTTTATCCTGACTTCTTTGTCAACCCAACAAAAATTTATTCCTATTGAGAAACATCCCTGGAGAGAAAACTTTTCTATGAAATGGAGTCAAGAAAGAGGAATGGTTTTCCCAAGTTTAAAATTATTTTAGGAAGAGTAAATGTATGTTGAATTTGAACTCAGCATTGTTCATAAATTTCAAATACCAATAGCTTAGAAGCTGAAGAACAATTAATCTATTTGTAATACAATTTTATCAAGTAGTTTTTTTTAATTTAAATGCCAAATTCTACCCAGTAAAGCCATAAATATTTTACTAGAAATTGTAGCAACAAGTGTTAATTTTCTAAGATTGTGCCTTTAAGAAAAAAATTGCATTACATTGAAAATTTCACTTTCTACTTAATTTTATATTCAGTTATGATAGTGTAAATATAGTTAAAATATTCATTTATCTGTTTCTTTAAAAGTAGAGAGAGGTATCAAATTTCGTTATTCAAATGACATCTATAAGCAACTGCATACGTATAACATGCGATTTTCGAATTAATTAATTGTAATTATTTAAATCTTTGTAAGTTTTAAATATGAAAAGCCCACATGCATGTATCATACTAATAAATTGAGAAGAAATCTTATAATAACTTAGGCAGTAAAATTTCTCATATCTATAAAAGAGGAATAGAGTAAGATAGTTATGAATAATTAATATGATTAATGGAATGAGTACAAGAGACACATATATCTCAATCATCATACTTTGAGTGGATCAGTGTGCTTGGCTGAACTGAATCATTTAATTTGTCCTCAGTAAGTATTCAGAAAAGAAAACTGAAAGCCCAGAAGATACCCCTTTGCTTAAAAACTTAGGTGGGTTATTGAAAATGGAGAAAATTGAAATATTTACTTTTGCAAATAGATTATGAACTTATAATTATTATTATATTTATCTCATTAAAATGTTCATATATTATGAAGTTACGACAATCTGTACACCAAACTTTTCCTTAGACATTGTGAAGAATGAAATTTTGACTACTTGATTCTTCTAGGATTTGTTTTATCAACTGATTATAACAATACATTTATAAAATTAGCTAGTGTGAATAGAGGACAAAAGATGTTTCTAGGGTTTTTTTATGTTTAAAAAAAGTACAAATGGTGAAATGTTAAATGAAAGTAGTCTCTAGACATTCAATAATTGAAATGTAATATTTTATTTTTCCATAATACAGCAGCACTACTATTTAAAAAATGGCAGTAGAGGTGATAATTTAGGTATATATTTTCCAAATATTTGACATTTTGATTTCATTCTTCAAAGAAAGTATGATAAAAGAACATATTTGTTGACAGGTTTGAACTTCAGGTACTTCTTTCACTACTGCAGTGGGTGGTATAGGCCAATTTACACTTATGTTTATTGAAGGCATTAAAGCAAGTTTAAATTATTGATTTCATCGTACTATTGACTTCTTTGGACACTTTAGAAGTTGTCATTTTACAGTGTCCTTAATGGATTCCCAAGGACTCTAAGGCAAGTTCTTTGTTAAAAGAGGATTCTGAGTGAAGCAGATCCAGTATTGAATTTAACTAAGATTTTATCAATAAAATGCTACAGAAAATGAACTTTATTTTTGTGGCTGAATACTGTATCATAATAGAATGTTACAATTGAAACTATATATATTCACATAGGATATATTTATATGTATGCAGATGTGTGATTTATATGTGAGTTTGTGTTTATATGCACATATGTAATTGGAGCAGGGGACACAAGAGGACAAAGAAATATTAATATTTTTTCATTAGAATTAATGTCCACTTTGAACCTTTTGAAAAATTAGTTTAAAAAAGAATATTGGGCTACAAAATACCATGATTTGTTAGTTAGGATTATACTTCTTAGGTTAAACATTTTATTATCTTAAATAGTACCTTTCATCTTCATAGTCCAAAGTTCTTTTTAAAATAATTTATGGTAGTAAATCTGTGTCTATCCTTCATATTGTCATTGTTGGTGTGACTTTGGGTTAGTTACTTAATTTCTCTTTGACCCGTCACTCAAATGAGTGTATGTTGAAGACTAGCACTGTATTTCCCAACCCAAAGCAATCCTTAGATTAGTAAATATTGTAAAATTTCTATAGTCATTTTCAGGACTAAAATAGCAACATGAGATATTGAGGGAAAATGAGCTATTATGTTAATTTGTTGATAAGAACAAAAAAAACTTCTTGAGTTATTAAAAATAGGTGTGTTCAGGTGAACAGTTGTGTACTGTATCCATGCTTCGGGGAATATGTAACACACATACACAAATGCATGCGCACATGTGCATGTGCTCACGAATACTTCTCTCTTAAATTCTGCCAAGGAGCTAGTTGTTGGGAAAGCACTTAAAGCTGTAACTGCTTTTTAAAAAATTGACTGTCAGAATTTGATCCAATTAAAATCTCTTTTTGAGTAGCATTTTCATTAAAATTTGCAAATGGTAGTGGTGAAGAATGACAGCTGCCAAAAAGGTCTGACATGGCTAAATGAGGAAAGATCTTTATACT